TTTTTTTTTTTTTTTTTTTTTTTTTAAATCGATAGATGTTCAATTTGTCATATTTTTGCTCTTTATTTTCATCTGGACGTTCTGCTTTAATTTTTCATTTGTTTCTACTTATGCTAATTATTCGTTCAATTGTTTTTTTATTTTTTATTTTTTTCATTCCCTTTTAAGTTGCTCTGGTTTAATTTTTCATTTATCCTGTTTAATTAAAATGCGATTTTTCTTTTCAAATACTTCATTCGCGAAAAATTTTATGGTATCTTTTGAAATAGAATTTTCATTTCGAGAACGTATAGATTCGAGGAATTTCATTCATTCAGCCATCCATTCGTTCCAATCATTTTGCTTTAATTTTCGATGCATCATTCGTTTTAGTTCTCTGTGAAACACACAATTCCGGTAGAAATTCCATCGAAACGAATTTTTAGTTTTCCTGAAGAGATCTTTCGAACATTTGACTTAAAAAGCTGACTGTGCGATATGGTAAAAATTTCGAACGATAGAAGGATGACGAACGTCAGACAATCCAACTTGCAAAAAAATCGCAGGAGATGTGAAGATACGTTTTATCTGATGAAACACAGCTAATAATAACGTAATCGCGAATCTCGATTTAATAGATAGATAAAGTGTTCAAATCACCTGACGATGTTCTGGTTATCGATGAAACTACACGCATCTTCGAAATCCGAAAGCACCGCTTGCAGCGGGCAAGAGCTTAACTTGGCATGGAGCCACTCGTAGTTGAACAAAACGTTCTCAAACAAATCGTTGAAACGTCGTGATCTGACCAAGTGGAAGGGTAGCTCGCCAAACTAAAATCGTACAATACATTAACTCGTACAGAGAATTGTTCAAGGCGCTTACTCTTATGTATGTACCTTTCTTAGATTGTATCTAGTGATTGTGCCATCCTTTGAGTAAAACGCTAGAGGTTGCTCTGGTACTTTTCTATCCGCCACTCCTTCTTTGTCCGCTAAATTAAACCTGTAAATCCGTCTCAATTGCGGTGAAATATTTTTGCAAAGCATCTTCAAGATATTATTACACTTTTATATTTCGCGAAGCATGTTCAAGGTGCCTTCCCGCCTATGTCCTTTTTTTAATGAAACATCGAAATATAAGGAAATTAAACTTAAAGTTCATGATTTTTTTTTTAAATTACGGAGGAAGTGATTTTTGGCCCACTCTATGTTAAAGAAAGAAACACTTCGATAAGTATTCAGAAAAATTACAATGAATATTATATTATGAATAGTAAATAAATCAGAAAAATCTGAAGAAAAAAGGTGAAGAAGAGAAATGATTTACCTGTGCCTCTGGATTTCGGTGTATTTGAATGGTTTTGGTCGTCCACCGCCCCAAATACCGAGATAGTAATCGGCGATCATTGAGTGGAAATACATGGCCATGTTCATGTTCTTGAAGTATCTTTCCTTAGCAGCGTCCCTGAATTGCCTGTGATACCAATTAAGAACACTGACACCGTCAGCCTCTCTTTCGCTCAGGTAATTGGGCAGATCGTTTCGTATCCTGGTCCAGAGTAAAGGCGGGATTCTTCTAACAGGTGGCAAGTGATATTGGTACACGTCGTCCAACACTTTGTCGTCCAACGAGATCAGATCTTCGAGCTCGGACTCGGACAGGCCTGACTTTGCGGCAGTGATGTAAGCCAGCGCGTGGAACACCAGAATTTTACCATGCTGTTTCTCGATCCTTTCGAAAAGCATCATGATACTGTCCATCACCGTGCACGTTAAGTGAGTGTCAGCCGGTTTGGTGTAGCTTCTCCATCTGCAGATCTCGGCGAACACCAGCTTCACGAAGATTGGCAGGGAGCACTTGGACAGGGCGTTCGCCACGAGCCGCCATTGATAGTTGTTCAAGTCCCTGTGAGCTGTTTTCATCCACATCCTGCGAGAGTTAGTAATATTTTTGAATAATAGTCAGTAACGAGGTGTTCCTCGAAGTCGTTCGTACTTCTTAAGGTTTTGTAGGAATTTGTAGAATCGGAATGGAAAATTAATTCAATAAAAACAGCTAAAGAACCGTAAAAAGAATTACTGATAAGATGCGAATTTTTTTACACTTGAAATTTTTTTTTTTTTTTTTTT